CAGTGAGCAGTTCAGAGTCTGTTGGTGAGCCTCTTTGCATTCCAGAGGACTCCTTTACATTACTTTGAGTTTTAGTATTAGTTCATTAGGATGTCGTGGGCTTGTCCCGACATCCATCTTAGTTGTTTAGAAGCTTCATAGATAGTCAGTTAGTTAATTCAGTTGTCTTTACTTTTCATTTCATATGTTAAAGACTTGAGTTTGCCTTAATGGCCAGTTGAATGTTCCTTTATGACATTCTAGTTCCTTCATAAATGTTTATGTGATGAGTTAAATCTTCCACTGAGTTAGTAAGCCAGGCCAAGGGTTCGCTTGGGGCCAGCAATAGTCTTCGAGTGTCGGCCACGCTCAGGGTGTAAGCTCGGGGTGTGACAATTTAACTTCAAAAGTTATTTTATACGGTCATGTCAGAAACATTGAGATTAATCTCATATTTGTGTCAGTACATCTAATCCTTATATTTTGAAGTTCTAATTGTATTTGAGTCACATTTTGGTAAACTTCTAGAAAATTCCAAGAGTTTAACCTCTTAGACTTGAATAGATTTGAAGTTTGAACTTGTCTTTCCTTCTTAGACAAGGGGTGTATGGCCCATGTCAGGATATGCCCAACATGATGGGAGGTTTCAAGGGGAGGAAAAAACAAAAAACATTTTCTATATAATCTTGGTGTAACTAAAATGGACATGTTACCCACTCAACTCTATTCTCTTGCATGAACAAAATGGATTAACTGGGAACAGTTCCAAAAATACCTGCAGCAAAAAATACCATGTCTTAATAGGAAAAGAGAGGCGTTCTTTAACTCTAGGTACTCTTTGTCATTTCTATACGTACTCAGATTGAAACCAACCTGACTTGCCTTGGCATTCTTCTTCTTACAACCCTGATTAAGTCACTTGATTATAAGATGAAATTGCAAAAGAGAGGCACACTTCAATTCAACAACAGAGTCTATTTCCCTTTCGGGAGGAATACCAAGAAGATCATCGGGAAACACTTCTGGAAACTCATTTATAATCGCATCTAACTCAAGATTAGGGGTTTCAGAATCGTATCCCTTACCCGAATAAGATGATAAATGTAACTGATAAATGTCACACCCCAAGTCCCATCGAGACGGACATGTACCCGATGCCCTAAAGACCCGAGAGAACAACCTTATAACTCTTGCTTATAATACATCCAGCAATGAATTTATAACTCTTCGATGAGTGTAAGCAAAATACTCTGATAGAAGACCAACATAGATAGGGCCAAAATAGATATACTTGCTTGATCATTGAGGCCATAATTACTAGAAAGAAGACATAATCGCGCTTTACTTTGACATTAGTCTACAAATCCTCTAAATGATAGATACTTAGCTTAGGTCAGGACAGTACCCCATCATACCCTTAACTATAAAAAAAGTATCAAATATATTTTAGAGACTCGACAAGCTTCGAATAAACATGGAGCTCACCGAAGGCAGCTGAGTATCATATGTTAATGTAACATCCCGCCTTAGAAAGAGCTAAATTTAGAAAGCACTAAATTTGAAATAGCTAAATTGAAAATTTTGCAAAGTTATGCTAAGTTATAAGTTTTTGGTCACCTTCAAATGACCATAACTTTCAATACAAGATGAGTTAGGTGGCCTATAAGTATCAAATGAAAGGTCTTGGAATCCTCTTTCCAACACCACTGAGTTTGCTAATTTTTGAGTTTGGATGAGGGAGATATGTCTAATTAAGGAAAGTTATCCAAATTAGTGAGGAATTTTTTGGTCTTTTCCTTACCCCATCAGCTTAAAACGCTTTTAGTACTATTTTGGGGTCAAATCTGATTTGGGTCAGTTTTGATAATCTCAAATACGCTTAGGGTTTTGAGAGGATTTCAAGAGGAGCAGAAAAGGAGAAAAGTTCAAGGCATTCATCAAGATTCGGGAGATTCGTCGAGGGATTTCACCAAATTGAGGTATGTAAACTTTCATAGTATTGGGTTCATTCACCCACACGCCAATCATGATTTACATATTTGAATTCATCCATAAAGATTGATAAATTTGAGTTCTTGATGAGTTCTTGATGAAGTTCTTGAAGTTTGTGATTTATTCTTTAAGTATGAGGTTTCGTTAAGTTCTTGCGATGAGAATCTTGTGTTGAGTGTTGTTCTTGAGTAAATTAGAGTGGATTTAATTGTAATTATGTTGGGTCTAATAATCCATAAGAGTTTGAGGGGAATTGTTCGATAATAGAAGAGTTAGACATGAAAACGAAGCAAGAAAATTTGTCAAATTTCTGGAAATAGCGGTGGTGCACCGCGCCACTTAGTGCGCCCCGAACAAGTTTCTATAGTTTAAGTCCTGGGGCTCCGCGCCACTCAGTGTGCCCCAACCCATCTTTAGTAGTTCAAGGGCTGGCGCCCCACACCACTTAGTGCGTCAGGGTCGCCAGGTCCCTTACTTTTTCGTCCTTCTTTCCATGTGAGTTCCCTCGAATCGTACCTATGTTTTCTACTTTATATCCACACTCCAAATTGTCTAAACATAAAGAGATCATCTATAACATGAAATCATAACCCTTGAATCAATAATTCAAATTCAAGGTAGAGTTAAGAATCAAGTCTTAAGAGTTTATTAGAGTCATTTTGAGAAAAAAATTACAATCTTTTAAAACTTGTTTTAAGACTTGAGTACCTGAGTTTGAGGATAAGTAGAGTTGAGTTCATTTTCTTTAAAATGATATATGGATACTAAGTATTCTCAAAAGTAAATGTTTTCACATTTAAGATGAAAGGAATCACCGATTTTCAAAAGAGTTCATGAGAAATTTTGAGTACTATCTCTTTTAAGATAAAAGTTTTGAGTAATAATCTCAAAGTTGAGGATGAGGAAATGTTTTTTTGTAAAACATATGAGTTAAGTTATATGTTGAGAGTAGTATTGAGGACCGATATGATGGAGAGTTCAAACAACTCACAACCCCCATAAACCATGTAGCCAACGTGTTTCATCTCTTATAAGTTGATTTATGGATGAATTCAAATCTCTTTTCTTTTTTAAGCAGTTTTTTTATTCTAATTTTCCACGTGACATATTTACAAAGGTTAAAAGATATTTCAGTAGATTTGACATGACCACACAATTCAAAATTACTCTTTCTTAAACTCGTGTCAAATAAAAATAAGATAAACAACTTTTAATGAGAGAAACCTAATAGATAATAACCACCACAACTCTCTCCTAAAGCATGTTTGCGTCGCATCTTCAAAAAATTGCCTTCCGCTAATGGGCTAAATTTCTTATGCTCCGGCCAGCACCAAGTCATTACCTACTCCCTCTGTCCCAATTTATGTGACCAATTCTACCATTGACGGTAAATTCTTCATATATCTTTTAAATATTTTGAGCTGTCAATTATTGTGACTTAATGTACTTTTTATGTAGTTTACAAATATATAAATTTCATTTCCAAAAAAATTAAAGATTTCATACCCAAATTTCTGATCAAACTTAATTTGTTTGACTAACGAAAAATGAAAAGTATCACATAAATTGGGATAGAGGAAGTACAATTTTTAGACTAAAGGGAAAGTGAGGGAGAACTCCATTGCCTAAATAAGATTGAATTATACGAAGCAAAAGAATTACAAAGTCAACAAATTCATCTTTTACTCATTTTTTTTCCTCCGTGGATTGATCGATCGATGTACATGAAGTCAACATATATATGTTAGTACTCATTAAATTCGAAAAAAAGAAGAGGTACTCCTTCATATATAAAGTGTAATCAAGTCATGAAATTGAATATCGTCCGTCAAATCTTGTTTGTCAGGTGCCAATGGTGGTGGTAGTGTTTAAAAGATACAAGTATTTGTCAACCGCACTTGTAGGGACCGCAACATTTACCTTCACAGAATCCTTCTGATCATACACTGGCAATAATATACAGTACCTATCACAACAAACTGGCCCTACTTCAACAGGCCTCCCCATTCCTATGTCAACTTTCTCTAATCCCAGTTTTGACCATTGTGACATTATTAACACACCTACTGAGTCTGGACTCGTTCCATTTGAACTCACTAATTCCACCACTTCTTTAACGTACTCATCGTCTACTCGCTCTTTTGCTCTTTTCACTAATCCAACTGTGTATCCCAATCCCTTTTCAACTAAATCTCTAGCAGAAGATTGAGCGCATCCTAAGACGAATCTGTTACCGTAGTAACCGATGGGCAAGCTTGGCTGCACTCGATTCCGTATGTTGATGGTAAATAATAATTTTAATGTTTGGTTGGGTGGTAAATTTAATGATGTGGCCCAACTCTTCCATATATGAGCAGAGAGTACTTCAAACGAAGTGCAAGAGGATTGATTGTATGTTAATAATTTCTTCAATTCGTTTACTCTGCTCCTGTTGAATGTAACTGAAGTAGGTGCGAGTTGAGAAAATTGAGAATCAAAGTTACAAAGATCAGGTACTTTCTTAAACTCGGGATGATTTTGTTGATAAATGCGCTTATTATAAATGTTTGGATCCATCAGATAACGATTCCATACTTGACGCTTTAATTCAGTGAATTTTTGCTTACCAGTAGCTAATTCAGCGAACAAGTTGAGGAACTCAGCACTACCAATTCCATCACAAAGACAATGATTAAATCCAACGCCTAACGTCGCCGATCCATCGGATAGCCACGTCAGCTGGACAACTAATGGTGGAGCCCCTTTAAGGACGTCGGTTACTTGTAATGACAACAGCTTCATCCACTGCGTGTTATGCCGGGGAGCTCCTTCAAATTCTTTTGCCGTGAGATCGGAGGCGGCTTGTATGAAGGCCGCACCCTGTGCTCTGCAGACCACTTCAAGGCCTGCTGAGCCGTTTGTTCGAGCCCTGACTCTTCCGGCTAAGGGGTAGTAAGGGACCAGGGCTCGACCAAGTGCGGCTTTGATACGGTTCACTGCAGCTGGTTTATCTAATACATGGCGTGAGGGCTTGTAAACTAGCAAATATTCGATGGTGAAGCGCAAAAACAGCTGAGAATCCAAAGCGGAAAGTGGGAGAACTTGTATAGGGGTTGGCTCAGAGGCCAACCATAGTAGAACAGTTTCTCACTGCTCAGCGTTCCTCTGGAAAGCGCCACTCCTCACGATGTCCCTTCTGTAATAAAACTCTGTGGTGTTGACAGACCAAGAGTGACCCGTGGTGGGACCATAGAGAAAACGTCTGATCGTGGCATGTGATATGTCCACCGAACAACCTCGAACCAACGTGGAAGTGAGAGGATCTTGAGCTAGGTGCTTTGACCGCTTGGAAATTGAACCGCGGAGAGTGGCAGCATAGGAAGCATAGAATTCCAGCACAATCTCCTCGCTATACGTCCCTGGGTCTCGAGCCATCCAGTCACACTTGTGAAGGTTAAACAGCCAGTGGATGTCCGGGACAGTGTGCAAGATCCCCGTGAGGACTCTGCACTCCTCTGTAATAAGTCGGGCCATCTTCTATTTGTCGTTTACCATCTTGGCATCCCGATAAATTTGCCATTGGCCTTCAGCACACCACCTATTTAGCTCGCCGGCTAGTGGAGTAGGGTCATCATTTCGTGGTGCAGGTATGGACTCCGAGCTAGTTACCTCATCAGACGAGGCTGCTTGGTCATTCTCAACAGATCATGTGGCTGATTTAGCACTGGACCCTGCAGCATGGGCAGACTCGGATCCTGAAGGATGGGCAGACTAGAAGCCCGAAGCATGGGCAGACTCAGATCCGGACATATACCCCTCTGAACTGGAAGCAGCCCCAGTTGGTGATCCAATCAGTGTGTGCTCCTCATCAGACTAGGAGACAGTGACTACGTCGGGAAGCACCTTCCGGGGGGTGCCTCTGGTGCCTCGAGGTGCAGTGTGAGCAGTCCTAGTATTGAGAGGAACATATGCTGGATTTGTGTCGATGTCTGTGTCCTCATTGATTAACCGGAAACTAGGTGCAACAGATTTTGACTTACCCCGTTTTGAGTAGGTGACCAGCTACTTCTTGGGTGCCATCTTACCTGCGGGAGCGATATTAGTGCCCAAGCCTAACCATATACAAACAAAAAAAAAACTTTTAGAATTGTTAACTACCCTCAACTAAGTCCAAAGAAGTTTTCAGACAGATGCTACAGTGCTCATCCACGGAGGAGACCTACGGTCCATAGACTGATCTACGGTCCATGGATCTCTTCCGTGGATCAGGGGGCCATCAATATAGGTCGCAGATGGAAACCACCGTAGTCCGCATCCGTGGTTTCACACTTGGTGAAATTTTTCATGTGCATCCATTCACGAACCTCATCTACGGTCCGTAGATGGATCTACGTTTCGTAGACGGGGTATCGTGGATGCCATCTGTGCCAGGTATCAGCCATTTTTATTTAGGATCATACATTTTTTGCCTTATTTTTCAACATTAACGAAATTTCATCATGTATTTCAACATTCAATTATGCTAGTTCTTCATTCTTAAGATTCCGACTGATCATTTTACCAAACAATTTAGACTAGTTGTGGAACCCTAAGTCGAAACTAACATATAGATTTACGATCACATACAATAAGGCTACACAATAACTATCTATCGTTCCAATGGCATTGTGATTTTCAAGTTTTTCATACATTTTCATCTAACAATTACCCAAGGTTAAGACCCAACTCCCGACTTTCTATATTCAATCTATGAATCGAAATTCAAAGTGAGGGGAAAGTCTATTACCTTACAAGCAATGAGGAGTGGGGTGATTGCATGGCGACACTAAGCTTAGCAAGACCAAGGAGTCACCTCTTCGTTACTAACCAAACACCAGACCCTTTTTGTGGACTATGGCATGAGTTGTATTTGAAATGGAAGGGAAGTTGGAAAATTATGGAAGGGATGATATTATGGGGGAGTAATGGAGTGATTTAGGGAGGTTATAGGATGGTTGAAACGGTTTTGGGAGTAATGGAGGGAAGAGGAATGGTTTAAAACAAATGGGGGTTTTTATATAGGAGGGTCCGGGTCGGGTCAGGCAGCCTGAGGGTTTGGGGGAAAATTTAGAAGCTTACCTGGGATCTACGGACACCATCCACGGTCCGTGAATTAAACGACGGACCATCGATGGGGTCCGTAGACCTCTGCACCAGACCATTTTCTGCAGATTTTTTCGTGGTGTACCTGCACATGTAGCAACCAATAGGCTATTCTTTTTACATTTTCTGGACACTTTTTAGACACAGACCCTATTCTAATTCTAGCCAACACTAGTACAAAAATAAAACAACTATCAAATTTAATAGAGGGAAGAAATCAAACAAAGCAAACTACTAGAGAAAAACTATATCCTATCGTTGGCTAGATTGTACATCTTGGGTTGCCTCCTAAGCAAAGCTTGATTTAACATCGCGGCACGACGCAGGCCTCTTAATTATTCACACTTCATCAAGATGATAGGCCTCAATCACTTCTTGCACAGTTTCAGCATTTCCCAGATAGATCTTGATCGTTTGACCGTTGACCATGAACCTTGTTCCATCCCTATTTTCAAGCTCAACCGCTCCATGAGGGAGCACTTTTGTGAGCGAAAATGGCCCGGTCCATTTGGATTTGAGTTTTACTGGAAACAAGCGCAACCTAGAATTGAATAGAAGCACAAGATCACCAATCATAAATTCTCGCTTTTCAATTCTTTGATCATGGTACCTATTCATCTTCTCTTTGTACAAGGCTGAACTTTCATAAGCTTTTAGTCGAAACTCATCAAGCATATTCAAGTCATTCATCCTATGACTAGATGCGGCGCCCCAATCCAGATTTAACTTCTTCATTGCCCACATAGCCTTATGCTCTAGCTCTACTGGTAAATGACAAGACCTCCCTAATACAAGTTGGTAAGGAGACATACCTATGGGGTCTTGGTAGGCAGTGTGATAGGCCCATAGAGCATCATCAAGC